CTTGGGCCTCCAGATGTTCTTGGACTACAACTCCTAGAAGCCTTCACACCACCTCTGCTGGCCAGGATTTCTGGGGGTTGAAGTTCAAGAACATCTGGAAGCCCAAGGTTGGAGACCACTGAATTAGTAGATAGAATTGTGTCACTGTACCTCTAGCATAAAACATTTTCTGTACAATCCAAAACAACACATTTCAAATGTCAATATTTGCCCATACAGTACATACACATTGCCAGGGAGCAGGAGATGCTCAGTATCAAGAGTTCTAATGATTTAATTCTTGGAGGATGTGGTTATCATAAACACACTGCTATAGTCCTTCAGCCTGGAAGAGTTTTAATTTAGAGCATAATCCATTTAAATGTCCCTATATATGCCCATAATGGGAATGGAAGTGAACGAACATCCAAGGGACACCGGCTGAAATTCTGTTGGTTAGCATAGTAAGTCACACTAGAGTAATCCAATTCAATTCAGTGAGTCAACTCCTCCAATTAGGTTCAATTAATATGCCTACTCTAGTTGTGAATTCTTTTGCCAAGCAACAGAATTTCAGTCACGTGGCCTTTGAAAACATTTTAGAGATCAGTATTTTTGAAATTTAATTCCGTATACCATCATAAATTTAATACCCACATGGTACATATAAACGCCTACACGCTGACATAGCAAAATAGGGCTGCTGATTCCTCAGTTCTATTTTTCGACATAGCACCACCATGATTTAGTAGAGCACTGTGAATCACAGGGGGCACCAAAAGTTATAATCTGTCTTATGCTAAAGAACAAGATTTGGGCCACTATAAAAATTGGGTGATCTGTAATCATTAACAAACATACCTGAAATATCTAATATTCTTAAAGTAAAGTAAATTTAGTTTTATCTCTGCCCAATTCCAAAACACGGAAAAGTATTAAAGAATACTGTGGCGTTCACCCTTGTGCCCCTTGCTTGACCATCAAGACTCAGAGCACCCGAAGGTGAACAATCCCCTCTTTTACACTGCTGCCACCAGGTGATCACTAAATCACCATTACTTCAGGAAGATGAAGATTCAGTTCCACACTTCAGAGTCTTTTAAATATAACTTTTGTTTACTGATTACAGAAATTGATAGTGATTCATGAATATCTTCTAAAGGTAAATTTATTATTAACAACACTCTTCTTTTTGATAATACACTCCTAACTAATCACCTCTCAGATTTCCCCAAACTCCACACTCTATCTCCTTCTCCACTCTTTCACACTACTCATACCCTCTCTCTCTCCAACTGACTGCTCTCTGACTCCGCCTCTTTATTACAATTCTCTCAGTTCCGCCTCTCAGCAACATTAGCCTAAAACATGAATATTCATAACTACTTAATCTAATAAGGGTGAACGATACAAATACATAATGCAAAAATAAGACTGTCTGAAATAGTCAGCAAGAAAAACTCCTGAACTATATACTCCAGCTCATACAATTTATATTTTCCTATGTAAAGCTTTAAAAATGTACTTGCTTTTCATAAATAAAGCAACAAGTAAAGTTATAGTTCAACAGAATCTCTCCTATATTCTGATACTATTATACACAAGGGATCTCTTGCTACCACACTAAAGTTCATAACTGACTTCAACCGTAAAAGAGAACAAACAAAAGGGAACCTTGTTTTAATAAGTAATCAGGTAACAAAAATGTTACATTGAAAGTAATAGCAACAAGTGAGAGTAGATAAAATCTGGCAGTTCACACTGGAAAATATGAAGGAGGCCATTATTATTAACAATATGTTTTGACAAAACATTATTTGCATTTACTTTTCATTCTAGGATACTATCTGAACTAGTCAGGAGTCAAACAGAAAAAATAAAATACAGTGGTGCCCCGCACAGCGAGGAAACATCGCACTACGGAACACAAAAAGGCATTGGAACGCATTAAACAGCGTTTAATGCGTTCCAATGCCAAAGAATTCTCCCCATTGTGTGATGTTTCCCAGGGGCCGGCAGCCATTTTCGCGCCCTCCCCTCGCACAACGAGGGCGCCAAAATGGCTGCCATCAGCTGTCCGGCGGGTCCAAAATGGCCGCCGGAACAGCCGAAAGGGCCCGGGGTGCAGCGTTTTCGCGCCCTTGGTAAGCAAGGGGAGCGCGCGAAAACGCTGCCGGAAGCCCCGAAATGGTTGCGGGTCGCAAAGCGAAGGTCAGTAAGCGAGCAGCTTACCGACCTTCGCTCTGTGAATTACGGCCTCGTAGAGCGAATTCATCGCTCTATGAGGCGCCCGTTGTGCGAGGCACCACTGTACTATGTTTTATTCGTGAAGCAGGGCATGAGAATGCACGTTCTATAGTAAGTAATCCTGAAGTAAATTGTTTAAATTGCTCCAGAAAAAGTAGATCAGAACAACAGGCAGAAGGACACACTTGGTAATTTACTAAATGACCACTGGATAGCTTCTAAGAGATCAACAAATATTTCTGAATTTCAAGTTTAACCAAAAAAAAAAGACCTTCCACTTTCTCTGAGTAGTATTGGCCATGCCAGATGGGACTGGTGTTAGCACCAGTCCAAGACATCTGAAATGCACCAAGTTGGTGAAGGCTGTGCTAGACCACCAAGGGTAGTCCAAAAGCCAGCTTGTAACTGAGACTGAAATCAATATAGATAATCTGTATCACCCAAAACTAGAGTTAAGAAATCACAGCTGTTCAAGTATCTCATTCAGAAACAGGCACATGGGATGGCACAATCTGCAGCCATAGCAACAGTTTTAACAACTTCAGGCAGAACTGCTTGTCATTAAGGTAAAGTAAAGGTAAAGGTTCCCCTTGACAATTTTTGTCCAGTCGTGTCCGACTCTAGGGGGCAGCGCTCATCCCGCTCTTCAAGCCATAGAGCCAGCGTTTTGCCCGAAGACAATCTTTCCGTGGTCACATGGCCAGTGTGATTTAGACACGGAACGCTGTTTACCTTCCCACCGAGGTGGTACCTAATTATCTACTTGCATTTGCATGCTTTCGAACCGCTAGGTTGGTGGGAGCTGGGACAAGCGACGGGCGCTCACTCTGTCGCGTGGATTCGATCTTATGACTGCTTGGTCTTCTGACCCTGCAGCGCAGGCTTCTGCGGTTTAGCCCACAGCGCCACCACGTCGCTCTGCTTGTCATTAAACAAAGAATTATTATTAAAGCCTTCCCCATCATACAAAATTTTGAACTATTTATTTAAAATATTTTAACCCACCTTTTGCTTTAAAAGAACCAAAGGCGGCTTACAACATTAAAAGGACAATTTTGAAAACCTAAAAACTGTATATATAGGTTGGCAGGAGCTGGGACAAGCGACAGGAGCTCACTCCATAGCATGGATTCGATCTTATGACTGCTGGTCTTCTGACCTTGCAGCACAGAGGCTTCTGTGGTTTAACACACAGTGCCACCACGTCCTGGGTATATATAGAAATATTCATAAAGAATTAAACAAGTATCATATTAAAATGAAAAATCAAATACTAAATGAGTAGTGAACTGAAGGTGTGCTAATTCAGTTGAGCTACAGGAAGACAACCATAGCAGATTGGAAAGCAAAAGTGACTTAAAGGAAAACTGCAACAGAAAGCAAACACAAGAAACAGAATTGGACTATTAAACTAAACATTTATTATGATACAGTGGTGCCTCGCACAACGGGCGCCTCGTAGAGCGATGAATTCGCTCTACGAGGCCGTTTTTGCGATCGCAAAACGGTCCCCGTATAGGTGGTAATTCACAGAGCGAAGGTCGGTAAGCTGCTCGCTTACCGACCTTCGCTTTGCGCCCCGCCGATCAGCTGTCCGGCGGGTCCAAAATGGCCGCTGGAACAGCCAAAAGGGGCCGGGGCGCAGCGTTTTCGCGCCCTTGGTAAGTAAGGTGAGCANCAGCGTTTTCACACCCTTGGTAAGCAAGGTGAGCGCGCGAAAACACTGCGGAAGCCCCAAAATGGCTGCGCGCAACCATTTCGGGGCTTCCGGCAGCATTTTCGCGCGCTCCCCTTGCTTACCAAGGGCGCGAAAACGCTGCGCCCCCGCCCCTTTCGGCTGTTCCGGCGGCCATTTTGGACCCGCCGGACAGCTGATGGCAGCCATTTTGGCGCCCTCGTTGTGCGAGGGGAGGGCACGAAAATGGCTGCCGGCCCTGGGAAACATCGCACAATGGTATTCTTTGGCATTGGAACACATTAAACGCTGTTCAATGCGTTTCAATGCCTTTTTGTGTTCCGTAGTGCGATGTTTCCCACAGCGAAGGTTAATCCTGAACGGATTAACCTCGCTGTGCGGGGCACCACTGTACAATGAATTGAAGAATGAATTTAATACAATGGACCAAATCTTTGTTGTGTAAAGTTGCTTGTTATGTATTAATATTGCTATTTTCACTAAAATAAAAGAAATTAAAATGTGATCAGACAATTCTGAATTATTTTTTATAAAATATGTTAGGAATGGGAGGTCCTTTTCAGCCAAAGGACCACAGTCTCTCATAATAAACCTTCTGGAGCTACATGGTCGTGGAAGACAGGAACAAAACCAAAATTAGGGGGAAAGTACACATAAACACCACATTCACAACATCCATTTACCCACAAAAAGCCATACACTCCCCCTTTCATGCATGACTGTCACCCTATTCTATCAAAATATTCTCCTCTTCATCCCACTCTAACACTATATCACCGCACTGTATCAGTCTTCTGCCATTTCTATTTGCCCACACCTCCAACCTATGTCTTAGCTAATCCATGGATAAGATATGAGAAATACAGAAGGTATAAGATGGTTCATTGCTAGAGCAAGAAAACTAACAAAATGAAAGGAGGTGGAATGGAATCAAATGGCTCGAAACCAAAATAGAAGCACTCCATACACCAACATTTTGATGCAGGTTCCACTTGTCATATACTATGGGTATTACTACAGTACCATGCCAGAGTATTGAAAACAAAACACGTTCACAATGTTCAAATTGTTTACTTACTAGTTATTTGCATTTGTAGTCTTCCATTATAGTTATTACTGCTTCCAGACCTCGGGGAGGCTGTGGCCATGTCCGAGGCTGCAACGTCAGCCTATTTAAAAAAAAAATGAAATGTTTGACTACATTCAGACACAAACATATCACAAATTTCAATGAGAAGCATTTCCTACTCCAGTACATAATATAAACATTTTAAAGTCAACACAATTTTCACTCCATTTTCAAAGCCAGCCTGACAAATCTGTTCAAAATATTTATTTAAAAAGAAAATACATACCAACTCATCTACTTATAAAAGCAGCATGTCAGAAATTATCAACACAGGTGGCCAGATCAGAACTTGGAAATGTTTCATTTATCCACAGAGTTGAAATCTCTCTGCTGACATGACCATACTAACCGTACTACCCTGTGGATTATGGGAGCTGTAGTCCTAAAGTAATTTTGGTCAAGCTATGGGCCAGATGGGTACCTAAAGTAATTTTGGTCAAGCTATGGGCCAGATGAAATAAATAACAATAGTAAATCTATACTCTCAATTTATGAACCTGACATCATGACCATGCTTCTCCATTTCCAGCTTCTGTGTACCACTTTTCCCCTAGGATGATCTTCCACTTCTATGCTCTACCACATCCTCCTTCCATTTGTTGTTGTTTAGTCGTTTAGTCGTGTCCGACTCTTCGTGATCCCATGGACCAGGCCCTCCTGTCTTTCACTGCCACTGTTGGGTCAAATTCATGTTGGTAGCTTCAATGACACTGTCCAACCATCTCATCCTCTGTCGTCCCCTTCTCCTCCCGCCTTCACACTTTCCAACATCAGCGTCTTTTCCAGGGAGTCTTCTCTTAGCAAAAACAGATTTCTGCAGTAGCTGAACATGCTCTGAAACAAACTGGACATGAAATTCTATTTCAAAATACTGAAATACTGGACAACACCAGCAATCATTACATCAGACTGCACAGGGAAGCCATTGAAATCCACAAGCACCAGCACAGTTTCAACAAAAAAGAGGAAAGTATGAAGCTCAACAAAACTTGGCTCCCAGCTCTCAAAAATACAACGTGCAAAGGGTCAAAGACCTCTCCCCAGCCACAAGGACAGGGGATCACTACACACAAAAGACCAGCTAATGACACCCATCAACCACAGGAACAGATAATCTCTTCTCCTTAGCACAACAATACACCCACAACAATACACGCTAGTCCCCCATCTACAGAAAAAGACAAAAGCCTATCTCACAGTCATAAATATTGCACTCCCAAGCCAACTACCCCAGAGCCCAGGTTGCTGTCCTCTGAAGATGCCGGCCACAGAGACTGGTGAAACGTTAGGAAGAACAACCTTCAGAACACGGCCAAAGAACCCAAAAAACCCAGAACAACCATTAGATCCCGGCCGTGAAAGCCTTCGCGAATATAAAGATACAACAGTTTTTCAATTTTTATTTCCACATGTAAGCTACAGTATACTAGTAATACCTGCAAATAGCAAGTTGGTACAGTCAAGATTTCTGTGAAATACATGTGGCCACTACAGTTTAGAAGTAACCACCCAATCTTATATGCAAAGCTTCCAGAATCAATGCCTATATCTCTAGTGAATCAGTTTCAAGCAGCAGTCTGAGAACTGGACAAATGCTGCCATCTAGAGTCCAATCCAGGTTTAGCTGGAACATGGTATTGCTTGATACAAGTCAGCATCATATATTACCGTATCAGAAAGGAAAATGAAAAATATATGCCAAAATTCCCAACAACTGGTAGCACAAACATGAAGGAAACCATTGCTCCAATTCCATGGATAAAGAATGAGAAACTGAAAACCAACAATAACAGCAAACTACTATTTTCTTATTTCAAATTAGTAATTTTTTCAAAAACTACAAAACAAAGCACCATTACTTGGGAGTGAATCCCACTTAGCTCAGTAAGAATTAATTTCTAGTAAGTACTGCCAGAATGGTGTTAATTCTCTTTAACATCCCCTCATTTAAAAATATACATGTACATACAATCTGTTTGCACCCATCATGCAGGAAGTATGTGCCAATAGGTTCTGCTGTTAAGTGGTAATATTCTACAGCCTGCACAACTAGTTTCATTTGATGCCCTAGTATCATTTCTCCAGGAATATTTCTAAAATATATATTATTAAAGATGAATTTTATGTAGGCCAGCATTTGAAGAAGGGGTTGGAACTGCCTGTTATTTTCCAATTTGCCACTATTTTGGCAAACCCATTCAAACAAACTCCAAATTCAAAGCTGCAGTATTAAGCATGCAAAAGGTGAAACACTGGACACAGTGTTTCACAATAATAAATTATGCATTATACCCATTCATTTATTTAGAACCTATTTCACCTCATCACCCACTTACGTGATAAAAAAAATCTGTATCATTTCATTCTAGAAGAAGATGACTAAATAATTCAAAAAGAAATCTTTTAAAGTTTTAGCAGTGGTTTTCTAGCTTCTGATCATTTACTATAGCAGATTTATATGCAATGAACTCTTTTTATACAATAAAAAAATCAATTTATAAAATATGGAAAAGTGCTTTTTGTGATTTTCTAGCACTTTTATTGGAAGCTGAGGATCTGTGCAAGGTGGTGGATGATTTTACATATAAATATCATTTTAAATATTTATTTTAATTGCCTAATACAACATGTGTCATGTTAATACACATTTGTTATGTTATGCGTCACCATGTCAGAACCAATATTTAAGCTATTGGTACTGAGATATTTAAGGAGTGGTTTTACCAGTTCCCCATCCCCAGTGAGTTTCTGTGGCTGAAGGCAAATTCAAGTCTCCCGCATCCTAGCCATCACTCTATCTGCTATGCTGAGTATCCCATTATATGTTTAGTTTGGTGGATGTTTTAGTTTTGCAAATTATACAGGCATGCAGTTTCTCCTTACCAATATATTTCATTTGGAATTGTCATTTACTACAAAACTATGTATTCTACACAGGGTTTAACAAGGCGGATTTGATTTAAATCAAAATTATTGAAATCATGATTTAAATTTTTAAAAAATCTTATTACTTTCACAATTTTAATTAAAAATATTTTATTTAAATCAATTTGATTTTTAAAAATTATTGATTTTTATCCACCTTGCTCTTTAATTAAATTACAGATGAAAAGTCAACCAGCATAATCCACAACTACAACAATAAAGAATGCCTCCATGCTGAAAGAATACACCTCTCAAAATCCACTGGAGAACAGAAACCAAGAACACCCTCCTTATATCAAAGGTCACATTCAGAAAACTAATGTTATGAAAGCTAAGATTCAAGGAATTAGTGCTAACAGCAAAGAAAAAGATGAAACTGTGTCACACTTCATCTGTAAATGTCCAACAATTGCACAAACAGATTACAAAATTATACATGACAGATCGGCAAAATTAGTGCAGTGGTTACTATGCAAAAATACAACTTGCAAGCCTCAAAAACTCCATGGGAACATCTGGTAGTGAAGGTGTCAGAAAATGACAATGAAGTCAAGATCTTGTGGGATTTTTTGATCCAAACTAATAGACACTTTGAATGTCATACAGCAGGCATAGTAGTAATCAAATGGAGAAACGTCTGGATAATAGAAATTATAATGCTAGGGGGTGCCAGAGTTAGAGATAAGAACTGGAAAAACTAACAAAATACAGAGACCTGGCAAATGAAATATCTTGCTTGTGGATGAAACACACTTCAGTGGTCCCCATTATCATTGAGGATCCAGGAATAATATCAAGAAATTTCACACAGAACTATAATCAGTTGCGGATTTCAAAAATAAATTCATTAGAGCTACAAAAACAGCAATATTAGGAACAGCTACATACTACATTGATACTTAGGTTTTTTTGTTAAAAGTTGTCTCAGTTATACAGTACCAGTCAACAGTTTTATAATTTTGATTGATTGTGCCTGGCATTTTTGAATAATAATCATAATAATAATGTCGATTGTACTTGACACCAAAATGCATTCCAAGAAAATCAATAATGTACAAATATACAACACAAAATTAAAAACAGCAAAATACAAACCATCCTGTTTTAAATCTTTTCCAGACAGATAGTCACTAAGGAAAAGCCTACCTGAAGAGAAAGATCTTCATATAAAATGAACACAGAACAAGTCAATTGTTCAAAAAATATAAGGATGTGTATAGTGTCACTGCACAGCAAAGTACAAGGATGTGTATTGTGTCAAAAGGAAGGCCAGTTTACATGCTTACAGGTATGGACTCTTGCCCTCCACTGTGTAAAGCAGTGTAAATGTTTGCATGCAATTACATTATGTTACTGCCTACAGTGTTAACAAGAGTATATTTGCAGAGCCACCAGTTTTAAAGAAAAAGCTCATACAAATCGCATGCACATACAGTATTACAGGTACAAACACATTTTAGTGAAAGTTGTTTCCCCAAATACCTAAATGTTGGAGACTACCATGACTAGAGGATTGTTTCCCAAATGGGGTGGGGGGGTGTCCTCAAAGCAATGTGAAGGCATTCCAAGGGAAATGTAAGGTGCTAGATGAAAAGACATGGAAGGGACAGGTGAAGACAACTGATACAGTAGACAATTAGACTACCCACCCTCTTCCACCATCAGAAGCAGCTGCTTGTGAACTAAAGAGCAGGGAACAAAGGTTTATGGTCTTCTCTGAGAGAGGGAGGCACTACATATAGGCATATGCACAAAAAGCATTTCCTAGTTCCTCAGGAAAGAGTTGTAGATCTAGAGGCTGCTGCCAAAGGAAATCTGGGGAAAACCAGACATTTGTGTTCAGTCAAAACCTCTAAGGAATTCTGAGGCCATATTTAAAAGAGAGAGAGAGACAGAGAGAGAGAGAATGAGAGAGAGTGCGCGCTTTGGTATGCAAGCCAAGAACTGATCTATTGGAAAGGAGGGACAGGAACTTTCACATAAAATATCAACATTTATTTATATCTGTGCTTCACCTTTTCATCAAATGAGTGCAAGAAGCAAACATGGCCTTACAGCTCATGTGAGGTAGGTCAGACTGGAAGACTGACAGTTCCACCCACTGAGGTTCAAGAC